ATCACAGGTCTAAAAGAATTGTCCATTGAAAATGTTGTATTTCTTGGGTTAAGTTCGTGTAAGGATAACAATAAGATTTAAATATATTTAAGGTCTGAAAATCAGTTTTTTCTTTGATTAGAATAAACACAAACCTTTTTACATGCGGGTGGCTTAAAGTTCTGAAATTTATTTGAAAACTTTATTTAAAAACAGAATTTTTGAAATCAAATCCCTTGAAATAAACCAATTAGATTGTTAACTATATTTTCGTCATCAATTTTCCTGTGTCCTGCAGTGTCCTTATTTTTCCAGTGTGCTCGCCTTAGAACAATGGCCTCAAATTAAAAGCTGAAATCAATGGCAGCACATCGACCTCTCACATCATTTCTGTGGCCCCCCTTTTTCCCATTTTATTCAGTTTGTTCATCGCTTGCATTAAGCATAATGCACGTAATTATTATCATTTTGTGGCAGCTTCTACATGCAGTCACACACTTGGCTCATACCCATCGAAAGTCGGAACCCCCGTTTTTCGGTTGAAACTGCCAATTTATACTCAATTGTGAACTATTTATTAGCGCATAACTTTATAATGAGCGGCATTGGACAGGAGTTTTTGAACTAAAGTGGACGTCGCATGCATACATACATACATATATACATACATACATATATCCATTGATTTTACCAATATAATTCGCACAAAGTTAAGTCCCATGGCAAAAGCGAGTTCATTCGGGAGTTTGGGTGTCAGATCGGATCATTAGCTCTTGGAAGCCACAGAGTGGGCGATGTGTAATGATTATTTTCATAGATTTCTAATTTGTTGCCCAATTAGCGGCATTGAATTTAACATTTAATGCGAAGCCATTAATCAATACGTCGATACTTGGACGAGATGGCCATTGGCTCGACTGAAGTATTGGTTGATTGATTGAGGGTCTGCTTAATTGAATTACTGTGTATACGGTTTTAAAGTTGTTCTACTTCCCCTTTATTGCGAGCACTGTTAAATTTATTACCAAATTGAGGATTAATTTTCTAATAACTGAATGACTTTAGTTTTAATTAACTATGACGAATAAATTTCAATTTGATTTGATGTATTTAAATTACTATTTAAACGTTAATTTTTTAGCTGCCTTAAACATGATTAAAGAACTTCAAAATATTGTCTTCTTTTGTGATTTAAATGGTTTATTCTATGCTTTTATTTAACATTTTATGGTGCCTAATCTATTAATTGTAAGAAATTGTAGATTGTTTTGCTCTTCAATATTTTATATGATTTATTTTCTTTTTGAATTTTGTTCTCTTAGTTTCAGTCTAATATTACTACCAACTTCCTCATGAGATCAAAGCCTAATCATAATTGCTTTTCCTTTAAGTTTTATACTTTTCATTAGGCTTATTCTCCTTGGACTTTGCAATCACAGGAAATGCTGTCGGTTCACCTGGCTAGAAAACAACAAGAAGCCCCAAGGGGCTGGATAATCCACCGCAGTGGATCTGGGTGTGGAATAGCTGCCTCGATTGCCGCTGTCCTCGGAGAAAATAAAGAAAGTCCCTAATCGCATTTGACTTTGCCAATATCCCCAGCTGGCATGCGAGCTGCCTTTGGCTCGCCTTGGGTTTTCCTTGGCTTTTCCCTCGGCTTTTCCATGTTTGTTGTCTGTTGTACTGACAAATATGTGTAGCCGTAGTCGTAGTCGTAGCCGTAGCCGTAGTCGGCAGAATGCCAACAATATGCAGGTGCATATTGTAGCGGCAGATTGTGGTTTGTCGTTCCGAGTGCCTAACAAGTGCCAGCAAATGTACCGTGAAGAAACCATTTAGGATTAGTTTAATATGATACACAGAGCCGAGGCGAACGAAGGTCCTAGATAACGCTCCTGGAATAAGCAAACAGTACTTAAAACTGCCGGGGCAGGACTACTTAAGATGGGGGTGGTCCTGGTCCTAGTCCTAGTACGGCTACTGCTTCGGCTACTGCTACTGCTACTGCTACTGGTACTGGTAGGGGAAAAATATAGAAAAAAGCCACAAGCAAACGGACAGGGGCTGAGACTCTAGCAAAATATTGGTGAGATAAAGCCAAGGCTCAGCCCGAGCTGCACAAAGGAAAAAAATGACAAATTTGCAAATGTTAAGACGGAAAGAAAACATCAACATAAGTTATAGGCTTAGTGCGTAATCGTTTTTCGCCAAGGACCAAGGACCAAGGACTTGCCACGGTGGCAGGCAAAAGCCGAAAAACTGCCTGAAATTGGGTGGTGGTGGTGGTGGTGGTCTGGATTGGATTGGTTTGGATTGGATTGGTTTGGCATGTGGCAACATGGGTAATGATGCCACCGGCGAACAAGCTGAGCGATATTTGCGGTTTAGCTGGCCGGGATTCCCCTGTGGTTGGGCTCTGGAGGAGGGGCACCACCAAATGGGAGCAGAGCATTAAACATTCAAGCGATATGCGGTTCGTCGAGGTCACTCAAGGTGCAGGCACAAACCAAGGAGCACACTCAAATGAGCCAGGTATCAATGGGGCATAATTCATGATAGCTGAATAGCGATCTAAGTGATTATTTATGACACTTTTTCATGGGTTCTTTTGGTTATTTATTTAAGAAACTTACGTTTTTTTTTTGTTATGTGTATCTTAAAATTTCTATGAAAATATGCAGCCACGATTTTATTTTCTACTACTTGTAAAAATATTTTTCGTTAAAAAATGTTATTAAAACATTGGCCCTTCCTTTTCTTTACCAGTAGTAGCTACCAATGTTCCTGCTGTAAATCACGATTCCCGTGCACGCATTTGACAATCGGCAAAAAAGCCACTCCATCTATCTGCCTCAGATCATCGACTTAGATGCGGCCCACAAAATACCGCCCGCCTCCATTAGACATTAGCCATGCGGATTTCCCTGGCTGTTCAAATTAAAAATTCATAAAAGCAGAAATGCGAAATTATGATGATAAAATAAACACAGAAAAGAAGCCGCAGACAAGGCGACGTTCGGCGACAGGCTTAAATAAGCGGAAAGCTGCACTGGGAGCAAATATATATATGGACTTATGACCTACAAGGCTTCCCAGAGGCAATAAATAATATTTAAATTATTTAAGGCTTATTTATTTACATATAAATATCCTTATCAAAAAATACAATCAAGAAGAAAAGTATTAAATATTATAACTAATAGTTTGTTGCTATTACTCAATTCAATAATATTAATATTAATTTTTTGCTTTCGCAAAAAAAATTTCAAAGCAATGTCAACACAAATGATTAGAGATTAGATATTAGACTTTAGGATTTGTCTTTACATTATGTTTTTTAATAGTTTATGGATTTAATATACAGATTTCTTTAAGTATTTTTGCATTATTTCTGCCAGTGTGATCCCAGAAAGTGGGCGAAGGGTGGGCGGGGCGTTTGGCGAGTGGGTGGTCTGAACGTGACCCGGCTACTGTGAGAAAAAGCCAGCCGCAGATTCGGACCCTGCTCCGGCGACTTGAGCGCTGATGATGTGGATAAAATAAACATGGGACATTGGTTTGGCCGAGCGGCCAGTGGGCGGGCCAAGTGGGCGGGGGCGGGCGAAGGACGAAGGAAGAAGGACGAAGGACGAAAGCGTGTTTAAACATTAAAAGGACCATTAGATACGCCTTAAAGTATGCTTCAAGTAGATTATCTTCCATCAGTTTTGTTTGCTTACTTGGAATTGTTTCGCTTCATTTTTCTCGTTTGCAAACACACACACAGACACACACTCACATACACACACAGACAAAGCCTGGTTTACTTAGCCTGCGATTGTGTGTGGGTGCGCTTTCCTTTTGGCCAAGGAAAAGCATCTGTTGGCGGAGAAAGCCAAAGCTGAAGACGAAGAAAAGCCCGAGACGAAGACGACGTTATTATAAATTGTGCGCGTGTCCTTGTAAAATAACATCTAGTGAACCCAAAAGGCCCCAGCACCACCCCAGCACCACCCTGAACCACCCTAGAACAGCCTGCACCACATTCTGGTCAAGTCGTGGCCCCGGCAATGCTTCTTAAATTACCAAGAAGTGCGCTCTGGGTGGCGCTTATTGCTGACTGCTTCTGCTGCTGGCCCATCTCTCATGACTGATGGCCGCACCGCTGGGTGGGTGGTGCCCGAATGGTGGTGGTGATGGTGGTGAAGGTGGTGCAGGATGGTCGCCGCCAGCCTTGACTCAATTTAAAGCCATCCAATTGCTCGTAAATTTCTATTTCCGTCCTTGGCGCTCGGAGATCGAGAGCTTAATCTTGCAGAAGCCCCTTGCAATTTAATGCCAGGTGAGAAGTTTAAGCTCTTATGCAACCCGGCTGTTAGAATTAAGATTGAAAAATGTTAGTTCAATGAACAAAAAATACTCACAACCTTTAAAAGCAAAGATTGCTAGTAAAATTACTATACCTATATTTCTAGTGCCATTCATCAAAGCCTTTCGTGGAATATTGACAAAATAAAAATGTAGAGGGACACATTTATAGACAAAAAATGTTAAAAAATTAAATTCAAACTTCTAAATTTGTTCAAAGTCGCCAAAAAAAAATGAGGGTAGTGAATAATTAAACGTTTGTTTTAATTGAATTGGTGAATTCTCTTCGCCCAAAATATTTTATATTATTTTCAATTTTAAAACATGCTTTGTATGCTATTATTTATATAATTGTAATTAGTTTTAATTCTTGTTAAAAGCTAAGTAGATTTGAGACTTCTCATTGTTAACAAATAACCCTCATAGCTTTTCTTGCATGGAAACACAATTTAAATTCAATAAATTTTCATCATATCTTCTTTAGAAAGTGCCTGCATTAATAGGTATGTATTCATATGGACAACGGCTAATCGATTTTGGAATCTGAGCAATATCAGCAATTAATTGACACCTGCAGAGTGCTTTTGCTAGTCGCATATCGAGAGTGTGCAATCGCCAATTACATTAGCGCCGCCTCGCCGATGTCCTGCCAGTTGAGAGCCCGGCATTCAGTCATGCGCCTCGTAATCCAGTGGCTGTCCTCCGGCTGGCTTCTGCTGGGGATTGGGATTGGGATTGGGACCTGGGCTGAGGGACTCGGCCGGGATCTGCTCACCGCGGGGCTGGGCAGTCGTCAGGATGAGCTGAACACCAGACGACTGGCGATGGCCATCAGTTACCTGGCCCGGAGCCACATCGCCAGCAGGATCAGCACGCTGGTCGTCCGGCAGAGCTGTCTGCAGTGTTCCTACGCAATGGCCCACCGCCAGCGGCAACTCGTCGACCAAATCCTGGCCAGCCTCGCCCCCGACCTCAGTGTCCTGCTGCAGAGGGGCTCCCCGGAGGAGATCACGCTTTGGGACTACACGCTCTTCGTGGTCAACGACCACACCGCTTTCGAGTGAGTCAGCAATTGCGCCTATAAGCTTTTTTTCGCTTTTGGCTTAAACTAGCAAAAAAACAATTAATATATAATATAAAATTTTATTATATTATTTTATTTTATTTTATTAAGCGACATAGTTCATACAGCTTGGGATCAGAGCCAATCAAACATTATTTTCTAGTTAAACTTAAGTTTGCACAATATAATATAGATAATAATTGTTAGTTGTAACAACATCAGAGTATTTGAAATTAAATTGATAATTATTTTTTGGCTAATCTAATGTAGCTTATGATATTTTATGTGATATTTGATTTGGTTAATTTTTTACCATCAAACAGGAGTCAGGTGTTCACCTTTCCCGACGCCAATCTGGAGCGCGAGTTCTTCTGCGTGGTGGTGGTGACGGAGTTCCAGAGCTCCGCCACCGTGAAGCGCACCGTCGGGCGGGTGGTGGCCTTGAACCTGCTCGTGCGATTCCTGAATGTGGCTGTGGTGGCCCAAATGGACGACGGCCTGGTGGCCATCTACGGCTATAATCTCTTCAAGGCCAACTGCACGCCGGGCATCACGGTGCGGCGGATCAACCACTTCGACAGACTCACCGGTGAGCCGCTGCAGAAGATGTCCGACTTGTATCCGGTGCGCCATGGCCACCTGGGCGACTGTCCGCTGAAGGTGGCCGCCAACCACCTGCCGCCGCACCTGATCTACAAGCGGCACATGGATCCACGGCCACCGGGCTCCGAGGCCGTGGCCATTCCCGCCCAGGACCTGGCCGGCATCGACTGGGATATCCTTCAGCTGCTGGCCAAGGCACTGCGGTTCCGCATCGAGCTCTATCTGCCCAACGAGCCCAGCCAGATCTTCGGCGAGGGCAACGTTTCCGGCTGCTTCGCTCAGGTGGGTTAATATCAATAACAATATTAAAACATTGAATATTTAACTGGAAATTAAGGCTTTGCTAATTGCTCATTAAGTTGTCATGCCTTTGTTTATTTCATTTGTAATTGTTATTGGTTTTTGAAATACCTTTCGATTTCTGAATTTATATTAAATGTTCAAAATAAATCTAATCGTATATATAAGGGTAAGGGTAAGGGTAAGTAACATACATATTTTAACAAAGAGGCATTGTAATCATTTTATGTAAATTAAATTAAGTAATAGTACATTTCCCTATACTATTTGACTCAACTAAAGCTTCTTCCAAGGGAACCAAATAATATTTGGTGAATGTAAATCCATATTCCAGCTGGCGGACGAGAGCGTGGCCATAGCGATTGGTGGCCTGAGTGGCTCGGACAAGCGGCGCTGGCTGTTCTCCAAGTCGACGGTGTACCACCAGAGCCACTTCGTGATGGTGGTGCGTCGGGATCGGTACCTCGGCCGCTTCGGCCCGCTGATCCTGCCATTTCGCGGCAAGGTGTGGGGCGTGATCATCGTCATGCTGTTGCTGGCAGTGCTGAGCACCTGCTGCCTGAGAAGCCGCCTGCGGCTGAAGTATCCGCTGGAGAACCTGCTGCTGGTGAGTGTGGGCAATCCGATACCGGCTCGCCGGCTGCCGGGCACCGGATTCCTTCGCTACCTGCTGGCCAGCTGGCTGCTGCTCACCCTGGTGCTGAGGTGTGCCTACCAGGCGCGCCTCTTCGACGTCCTGCGCCTCTCGCACCACCGCCCCCTGCCCGAGGACCTGGGCGGCCTGATCCGGGACAACTACACGCTGATGTCGAACGGCTACCACGACTTCTATCCCCGGGCCCTCACCAACCGCCTGAGCGAGTCCTTTGCCACGCGATTCGAGCGGGTGCAGGAGGCCCAGCCTGGCGAGCGCATCACCACGATCGCGCTGATTAGCAACCTGGCGTACTGGAACCACCGGCACCGGAACACCAGCAAGCTGACCATTGTCCGGGAGCCCATCTACATGTACCAGCTGGTCATCTACTTTCCGCGGCGATCCTTCCTGCGCTCCGCCGTGGATCGCAAGATCAAACAGCTGCTGAGTGCCGGGGTGGTGGCCCACATCGAACGGCGCTACGTGCAGTATGTGGACGTGCCGGATGTGGCCGCCAACGACCGGACTCTACTGCCCCGGATCACCAACAAGATTGTGGAAGGCGCCTATCGGATTCATGGCCTGATCATGGTACTGGCCAGCGGAATCTTCCTCCTGGAATTTCTATCGGGGCGCTGGAATGGCGGACTGCGCCGATGGATGGAGTGGGTGCACCAGCCGTAGGGCAGGCCCTTAAAAAACTATAAACACTAGACCATTTTTAAAATATCTTTTAGAATAATTAAATCCTATAAAAACCAATTATTTTAAACCATCAAAATACAAACAAATTTTCTTTTATTAATTAGTTTTATTGTTATTTAACAACAGTTAGAATTGAATATTTTTAAAATAACCAGATTAATATACAGAAAGCTGCTTGAAAAAAATTTAAATTTGCTGATAGAAAAATAATTTGAAAGTCATTCATTAATGTTTCTTAACATTTTTTACAGTTACATTTTTGGTTGACTAAAATCAAAGACTATAAAATTGTTGTAATTTAATGTAGTCATAATTTTTTTTTGGCAAATTCAAATAGTTAAACAAATTACAAATACAACTAAATAGAATACCAATATTGTTAGACTTCTTAAACAAAATAATATAGAAAATCAGCAATAAAATGGTTTATAAAACTAAGCATGTAGCTTTTGGCCAATAGACATCTTAATTTATAATTTATTTATTTATATTATATTTAAAGTACATCTTGACTTTATAGATAATATATCTAGCGAAAGGGGAGCCCCCAAATCGGCCAGATGGCTGTCAGTACCTATCCTTTATCTTTCGTAGATGGAGGAACCAAAGTGGTCCGCCGACTAAGCCAGCAATGCTGCACTTAGATGGATTTCTGTGCGGTGGCCGGTTAGACTTAAAAATTGATTTAAGACTTGTAATGCAGTGGTTCGTTCTCCTTCTGTTTTTCTGTAATTTTTTTTTTTTTTTTTTTTGCCAATTTATCCCCTTCCCCCCCACCCATTTAGCATCACTCTGCTGGCCACTCGGCACCACTCGGAGCACCACTCTGCTCCACTCTTAGCCATGTGTGAGCAGCGGCAACTGGCCAACTGGCCGAGCGGCACGGAGCGGCACTTGAGTTAAGCTGTGCAAACGTTTGCATAATCACGTTCCAATTTAAATTGCTCTATTGCCGGGCTGCCACTGCCCATCGTCCATCGCCCCCTGTCCTCCTTGAAAAGTGGGCGTGGCCATCGTTGTCGCCTCTCGAATTGGAAAAACCGAACCACTTTTATTAGCCGAGGGGGTGGTATGTTTTCCATCCGCTTCATGCCCATCCACATCCCCATCCACATCCCCATCCACATCCCCATCCACATCCCCATCCACATCCCCATCCACATCTCGATCCACATCCCCATTCATTCCATCTGTTTGCGGAGACTACGGAAAAATAGGATTCGTATTTTACTTGGTCGCTATCCATCTGTGTGTCCACATTTGGAATCACTGTTTCCTGTCGGTGCGTAAACAAAAGGCAACAGTTGATCAACAGTACGCAAGGAAACCCATCGATTCGATTTACATGGCACGCATATTGCTGCTCTGATGAAAACCCAGTTTTGTATTATTGAATTTAAATTAAATGATTTTATTTGATATTAAAATATTTCAATCAAAGTGGAAAATATAAGATTTAAAATGGTTCCTATTTGGATTAAATTCATTTTATTAAATTTATAGCTTCAATTTCAATTTAATGTTAAGATAAAAAAAATGAACAATTTTGAAAAATTGTTATATATTAATGTTTCGAAAACCCAAGAAAATGCTATGGATGAAAGTATTTAAATTGGATACAAAAAATTGGGGACATATAAAATTTTAATACATTTTTTCTTGAGTTTGCTTCCCAATTTGCAATCAACAAAAACCATTTATGTTGCAATGACTTTAAAAATTTATTTTTAATACAATCTAAACGTTTATATCTATTAAAATTATAAATGTTTTTAAAAAAGGAAGGTTTATACTATTCATATTTAACAAACATGATTTGAAAATATACTATATTGTTAAACTAGGTTCTCTACAGTTTTTACTTAGCAATTCATTCGTTTTATTTGAGATAAAGCAGTTAATTTGGAATGACTATTAATTTACTTTACACACTGCGTCTGTACGAATCTAGAGTTTCGTGGCCTCTCACGGCCAGTAGTTGCACTTCTCGTCCTTGACGATAAGCTCCCCACTGCGACCCTCATCCTCATCGACCTTGGGCGGGAAATCGCGCCTGCCGATGCCCGGATTGGGCTGGTTGTTGTGGAACTTCATCGTCAGCATGTCCCAGTCGTAGACGAGACCGGGCCGCAGGTTCAGTCCACTTCGCAGCATCCTGAACATCCGGCAGATGGCGTCGTACGAGGGGCGCTCGTAGAATCCCATGCCGCGGCAAAAGTTCAGGTACATGGTGAACTCGCAGGGATAGCCCTCGCACAGCGCCTCAATGCTCATCGATACCTTCTTCTCGTGGATGCGCTCGTACTTCTGCTGCTTGGTGGACGCCTTCAAATCCTGCCACGGCAAGGAGCCCCTGTTAAAGTACATGAGGACATAGCCGATAGCCACCATGTCGTCGCGTCGCGAGGGCTCCACTCCGGCATGGACCGAAATGGAGGCAAAGCGGGCGGTGCCGGTGAGGGCTCGCTCCTCGCGGTACGGTATATGCACTCCTGTGGATACGTCCAGGTACTTCTTCGACAGTCCGAAGTCGATCAGGTAGACCTGCTTGCTCATTTTGCCGCGGCCCATCAGGAAGTTGTCCGGCTTGATGTCCCTGTGCAGGAATCCCCGACCGTGGACGTACTCCACGCGGCGCACCATCTGCTCGGCCAGCAGCAGCACCGTCTTGATGGTGAAGGCCCGATCGCAGAACTGGAAGAGTCGCTCCAGCGACGGACCCAGCAGGTCCATAACCATCGCCTGGTAGTGCGGCTCCTTGTGGTAGTACCAAATCCGGGGCAGGCCCGGAGCTGGCCTTAGTGCCCGGTAGAGACGCCGCTCGTAGTTCAGCTGCGGATGCCGCACACTGGTGCTCTCCACCTTGATGGCCACCTGCTCGCCGCTGTGTATGTAGGTGGCCAGATAAATGTCGCCGAACGAGCCGCTCCCGATTTTGCGGATCACCTTGTAGTTGCCGATTTGCACCACGCGGGTGTCCGGAGATCGTAATCGCTCCATTTTCCCACTTTCGTTGCCGATTTTGGTTACTCAGTTGTTTCTACTTCAATCCAAATGGTTAGCCCTGAAAATAGGTTGTGGCATATGCAAAACTTACTAAGTAAAAGTAATTTCTTGGGTGCCTAGATCCCTAACAGACTATTCTGTTCAAATGTGGGTTACAATTAGGGTTAAGGGGTTAAGTGCCCACAAGTTATAAACAGTTAACAGCGAAGAAAGTGAAGAAATTAAAATTAATTTAAAAAAAGTTTTGTTTAAATTTGAACCATATTTCACTTAAACAATATGCATTTAAATCAAATATTATATATTTTAAATTAATTAATTAAAATATGTTTATATTTAGTTATGCAATTTAATAAGTAATGTATTTAATATTATGATTTCAAATTAAACAGAATGTTTATTTTTTTTTTATCTTTAGAGTTAATCTATAGATTTAAGATTTATATTTTGTTCATTTTAGAATATCAATTGAACTTAAATGGTCTTATCAATAAGTTTATCGGTTAATTCATTGATTCCTTAAGTTTTTCCTATAAACATAGTTAATATCCCCTGCTCATAAAACGAGGTTATTTATTGTAAATGTATAATCCTCCTTCTGGCTGTACAAGTTTATTAAAGACACCACAACGTGTGGCATGCGATATTAAGTAGCCGCCACGTTGATCGCAGCTCGGGGCGGCTGCACTTTAAATGCGATTAAACCCGAGAACCCAATCCTTAGCCCCGGTCGAACTGAACCGAACTTTAAGAGTCGCCGTAATGTGCCATCCTGCCTGCGTTGTTTGTGTGTGTTCGTGTGTGTGTGTGTTAGTTCGTTTACTTGTGCGTATCGATTATCCTAGCAGACGGCGGCATCCGCAGACGGAGACACAAATGCACAAATGAGGAGGAGCAACCGGAGGCGGAGGTGGAGGACAAGTGGAGGCTACGAGGACGGATCAACTAGCCAGTAATAATGTCTTTCGCTGACATTTGACATTTTGGCTATATATCACTCACATTGTGACAACTGGCAACTTGGCATTCAAATATAGCAGGAGCACCAGGAGCCGGGCTCTCAGATGTTTAAGAACAATAAATTTGTGGGCCTTCGGCCTGTGCGTGTGTCGTCCCCCCTTGTATCCCCCCCTATATCGCCCAGTAAATCCACCCAAATCACCCCCTATATATATACCCACGGGCAAATGTTTGGCATCAGCCTTACTGGCCGCCTGCAAACCCAATGACAAGACGGAAGCGACATATTTGAGCTGGAATGAAGCGGGATTGAGGCTGCAGCCGGACCCATTATCATCATCGGTACAGAGAGGAAAAATTACATGGTTTTCTGTTTGGTTTTCAGAACATAAACATTATTATAATATTATTGATATTCATAGATTGCCTTTTGGATTACCTGTCAAATTAAACTTTAAATATTCATTGTTCCACAACTAGTTTCAAATATATATTCAATTAAATTCAATTAAAACATAAAACTAATTTATTTTGGACAACAAAAAATCTTTTGACCTAGATAACGTTTAGTTGGTATTTAATTTATTTAATATTTGTTGCTGGCTGTACATTTTATATTTATATTTAAAAATGTTCAATAACATAACATATTGAAAATATCAAACTGTATTTTAAGACTAGTATATTTTTAAAAATAATTGTATAAAGCAATTAAGTTATATGATGAAAAATGATAGGCAATACGATGTTTTGTAGATTTAAACCATATCACATGGAGACTAGTTGTGACAATTTTATATAAGAATGTCGGCTAGACCAATAGATTTCACAGTGCAGGCAAAGAAGCAAAGGGAGGAGCTCGAAGCCTGGCATTTACATCATAACATGGCCGTCTGATGGATAGACAGATAGCCAGGCATTAGCATTAGAGGCCACCACAATGGGTATGCTGATGATGGCGATGGCTGCGAGATGATGAAGATAATCACGATGATTACGATGATTACGATGATTACGATGATGGGTCAATGATGATGATGACGAGAGCAGCTCAACTGAATGAGGATGAGCCAAGGCTCCTGTTCCTCGTGCGGACTTAGAATCGGTTTCCCATTCTGATTCAGATTCAGTTAGTTATTCCCAACCCAATTTCGAATCCGATCCAGAACTGGACCTTCCAGAATCCTAGACACTCCGCCTGGGCGTAGGGCTTTCAGTGGGCGTGGCCAGTGCTGATGCCGAAACATGCGGGTAAATTATCTTCTCATTTCCATCAATGTCGTTGTTGACGTGGTTGTCTGTGCCACTGATGTTGTCGTGGAAATTGCCACTTCCATCCGAGTGGCCAACTCCACCATTTTTCAGCCCACCTGCAACGTGAAGTTGCAATGGCAACGGCAACGGCAAATTTCGGGGATTGAAAATCTCCATTCGATTGTTTGGCTTGTTGTGTTTTCTTTGCTGCCACTCCACTCTGCCGCCCACGAAGTTAAGTCATTAAGACGAATTTCGTGGACACTAAAGAGCTTGCCCAGCCTTAATTGACTCACATAAGTATTAATTTCGGTGATAATGTCGACAAGAAATTACTGGCATTTATAATTTTTAACTAATAATAATATTACTGAATAACAATCTACTTTGAAATTATAAATAATAATATAACATAAAGCTAAGCTAAATTGATTTAATTTAAATGCTTGCCATGGCACGCACCTAACAAACATTAATCCAGCCATTATGTTGGGAGTATTAATGTAAATCAAATTAAAAAAATATAAACCTCTAGAAATATAAGACATCGTTAGCCCACGAAAGGTCAAGTTCGATTTCGCCCATAAGCTCAAACTTTCCCGGGTGCAAATGAGTGTTAATGAATATGAAACTTATCCGGTCGCTGTGAGAACTAACTGGTCAACGTGTCGAGAACAAACGTGACAAAAGTTTATGGACAACCGGCAATTGCACAGCACGAGAAAGAGACGGCCTGCAATGGCGAGAATGAGATGGCCAGAGCGGTGCAGAAAGAGATAGGAAGAGGAGTCCGCTTTGATGGCGCTGAACTTGGACGGACAACAAACAGCAAAATATAAATGACTTTAATAGCTCATCAATGATTCAGGCGGAAATCCGGGCTGTCCAAGTGCAGTCGGTTTATTGGATACCGGAAAGGCATTATGTTGCTCCCTCTTTCCCTCTCGCTCTTTATTTCAGCCCGTCCCGCTCTATTTGTGCATTTGTTTGATTGTGCTGACTGGAGTAGTCTGTCTGACTTTCTGTTCTGTTCTGTTCTGTGCTGTTCTGTGCTGTTCTGTGCTGGTCTCGATTCGACTCGACTGGCTTGGGGTTTCGGATCGAAATCAAGGGGGGTTTGGGTCGGTTTGGGTCGGTTTGGGGTCTCCTGTCTGCTTAGCTGCAATGATTTTCACGCTGTCTCCGAAAAGTATGCAACAAAATTTGCATATTGTTTTGCTCCAGCATCACCCCGCTGCAATTTGTCCAGCTCCCTGTTCTAAACACCCCTTCCTTTACACGTAGCTAAAATTTGTGTGATTTCAATGACAACAGGCATTCAAGCCTTCTTAAATTTAGCATAACTTTCATGGTCTTAAAACCTTTCCTCTTACACACTAGTCTACTTGCTTCAAAATTTTATAAAATTTAGCAAGTTTTGTAATTATTTCTTTTAGTTGTTAGTTTTATAGTCCGATTTTAGTTAGAATTTATATATTTAATGTTTCACTGCATTTCAAAACAAAAGAAGGGAAAATAACTCACACACAATCTGACTAAAGCACAAAATATATAAAATAATAATTTATTTAAACAGTAAAGGGAAATTGCCTGCAATTTTTGAGGGAAGAGTTTAAATCCGGAGAAGGTAAAATAAAATAAAAATAAAATAAAATAATAATAAAAAAAAATAAATAAATACTTTACAATCTTTACAGTAAGAAACAAATATTATTTCGATTAAATAAATATAGGACTTTAAGTACATGTGGAGAGGTAAAATATCGTTTTTTGTAATAAATATGTTGCGAGTGTCCTCTCTTTTCGAACAGTGCATGTTTGGCATATGCACCCAATTTGCATTTGTGTTTAAGTCAACTCTCACTTCGATTGCCCCCACCCTCCATTTTACACCTGTCCGACGGGTGTGTGTGTGTGTGGTGTGTGCATTTGCGTCATTATTATCATCATTATAGATGGCACATGGCCAGTTTCCCCATTGGCCATGTGACAGTAACCGCTTGGCTTTTGTGTCTCATTTATTATGCAAATCCGAGCCAGGGGTCGAAAGCGAGGCGTGTGGCAGGCGTGGGGTTAAGTCCGGGCGCAGGGCGGTGGGTGGTGGGTGGAAGTGGGCGTGTGCGTGGGCGTGGGGTCAGAGGGCAGCCTTTATTCCTTGGTTGCTGATTGTCCGGTGCTCCGGTCAAAGAGTTCAAGTTTTGCAACAATTATGCCGCAATAATCGTCGCCGTGTTGCAGTCTTGCCCATATATGCATATGCACTCTGGCATTTGCGCACAAACAATAATGCTTATCGCATATTAATGAAACGACAGCAAATATTACAAATCAACGCAATTGGAAAATGTATTCTGCTCCCTTTCCTTTACCGCAAATGGTATTTAAAATTTCGACAAACACAATTGGAAAAAGGTAGGAAAACTCTTTACAAATCGAAGTCTTACAAACACTTTTAATTAAGGGATTATGGCAAATTTCGTTGATTCCTAGCGATCATAATCTGGAAAGGTAATCTACTTATTTTGATCTGGCAACTTCTTAATTTAAAGTTTTGGCCAAGTAAGGCGCATTAAAAACAGTATAATTGAAATTTAAGTAAACTAAGCTTTTTAAGCATATATACCCAATAAATGAAAACAAAACTGTTAACAATCTTTAATAGAAAATACTTTTCTATCTTTGGCAGGCACAATTTAATTCAAAACTTTAAAAAAAGCAGTGTATCTTTTCCCACCGAGCTTATGTATAATGAAAAGTGAGGTGTGTTTGGCAGGACAATAATAAAAAGTAAATATAATTTCAATTTTTATACTCGCTTCAATGTTAATCAATTACGTGCTTTAATTGAAATCGCCA